TCCTGTTTCTGGCGGAGATCGAGGGAGGGCCGTTCCCCAGGCTTGCCGCTTTGATATTTACTCCATCCACATCTGGACAGGAAGGGGAAGCTCGTTGAGCTGGCGGGTGTGGCTACAGACGGAGTTCACAGCCCGTCCACCGGAGGGGGCCTAGGTTCGAGGGCGTGGTTTGGATTGGGCCCACCTCCCTCCATCTGGACAGGAGGAGCCTCGGTGAGCTGCCGAGTGTGGCTACAAGACGGAGTTCACCTCCGCACGGAGGTAGGCGGGAGGTGTTTGGGATTGGGGGCCGTAGTTAAGGTGGACGGGAGGCCCATAAACCCATTAGGTGCAGATGGCATTGAACAGAAATGATGCACTGCGATTGCTATGTAGGTTAGCACTTCTGCCCCATCGGGCCCCAGCGGCCGGGCTTAAACGGTTGTATATAGAATGGTATCTGCGGTGGACAGTACGCTCTGTCAGGAAGGGGGTTCACGAGAATATGAGTGAGCTGCTCTTACTGTTTAACTTTTTGGTTATTAATGTTACTGTCCATGTTAATAGGCTAATAAGAATTACAGGGCTCAGGCTGTAATGCTAACTAACGTTAGCTTGTAACCAAGCTAGGTATGCTAAGCTTGGATCCAGCCCAGTCCCTGTTCCTTCGCGACTCAGACGCGTGGAAGCGAAAGAACCGGAGCACGACCTTATGGTATGATAACAACCTGGCCACTAAGCACCACAGGCATCTTGTTTAAAGTTTATCTTTCATCTAGCTATCTCTTACTATTAGTGGAGGGAAAACAATTATGTATGTATGTATTATTATGACAATCAAGGGTAGGAATTTCCACGACGGGCCGTGTCATGCGTTGCCCTCGGTTTGGGGCCGAGAGGCCTCCGAAAATAATTGTACATCCTGGCCCTTTGTGCCCCTCACATGTAAAATTCTACAGGAAGTTGCCTTTAAAGGGACCTATCATGCAAGAACCCGATCTTTATTAGAAATATGTGTCCCCGGTTTCCCAGGGAACTCCACCAGTGTCAGGAAACCACAACCCTCTCTATTTTCCCTCCTACCTCAACTTCTTAAAAAGGGGGCCGGCAACGGGATCTGATCAAGGGGAGATCCAGGATTGGATACCACTTCTATGACGTCACAGAAGTGGCGGCTCGGCCTATTTGGCCAACTCCACAATCCAGGAGGAAAGACAGCCACGGACATATTGCCGTGGAAAGGGCTGGAGACGCTGTAGTACTATGCCAGGCCTGGTTTAGATCGGGCTGTTCATCCACCAGAGATTCAGGCCCCATGGAAAAGACAGTGTTAAATGAGCGAAATGAGGGGAATGGCTAAAATGCATGATCTGTGGTTGGGTATTTTGAAAATAAAAAGTAATTAAATATGCCTTATATACGGTATGGTCCTACACTGATCATTAGGTTCAAATATAGATGATAGGTCCCACTTTAAGGGGGCGGTCAGAACTAGGGGTGCAACAACTCTAATGACTTACATCGGATAAAATCGATTACCCCAAAATTCAGGTTTGGAAACCTCATTCAGTCGTCGATTCTTGGTGACCGTCACTCACAGGTGCTTCTACAACCCCCGTTAGCTTCAACGTTAATCGGCTCTTTTGTATCGTACCAGGAGACATTTAAACATATGTTAATGTATATGCTACATAAAATTATATCGCGTGGTAGTGTGGCCAACTCAGTTTCTAATTGCAATATGACTACAAAATGCGTCTATAGCTATTTTCGAATGGGCGATCCGACCTTCAGACGAGGATCTCTCCCCCGCCTGCTTGGAGGGGGCGGGGGCTAGTCTTACAACCACCGCAGGAGATGGCGGAAGGAGAACGCGGCCCGGAGGTGTGGTTAACTTTGCCGTCCTCGGGATGTGGACACATGTCCGTTACCAAAAGTGCCAATAACATTATATATAAGGCGGTAAAACTGAGGCAATTTGTAATTAAACCCATTAGCAAAAATTGCACCCACTTCAGACGGGGAAATGCACGGGTTCGGGCACTGTCTTTTCCTAGTAGCCTTGTGGCCCCGTCCAAGGTAGTAACCCCTTCCACGGTCAGGGTGTTATGTATGCTACCAGGCAACCACACAGGAGTTACTCAAGTTATAAAAACCACTAGGTTAATGTAGCAGGTAATGAATTAGTTATTTGTTAAGCTTCGGAGCTATTTCTGTTTACAGTTTCTGTCATCCAAACATTTTTAATATGATGTTGTAAATACTGTTGTTTCTTTTGATCTGTGAAATATTTATCGCATTTAATTAAATAAAAGCAATGTAGTTTTGTTCACAATTTGTTGGAGTTGTTTACCTTTTTCTTGTCACAAGACCGTTAAGTACTATCGTTTAAAAGACCGGCATCGATAAGGCAGTATTGATATAAGGAAGTGAGTACAGGTTAAAAACCCTTAACGTTCCGGATAATCGATTATCGGTTCTTATCGATCAGACTTATCGGATTATGTCAAATTAGGTCAGTTGTTGCCAGCCCTAGTCAGAACAGTGGTCTGGGTCTGCTGAACTGGCCATTATTCTGCGTTTACACGGACGATGCGGGAATATTCGCATTGGCTCTAATCGGCTGAAGCTTCACTGCGCTGTTCCGCAGCTGTGGGTAACTCCTTCATTGCAAAACAGGAGCGCGCTGGAGAGGGGCGGCCTTATATGCATGTAAACACTTTGGTAGAACCAACTACAACAAAATGAACATATTTACTGTGATTTATTCTAATAAAACATTTTAAAATGATGCCGAATTACAACTAACGGTTAGTATAAACCCATGAATTAATGCTTTGTGGAAACAATCTGTGGTTTTCTGGAATGGAGATCGATGATCGGACCATGCAAACTACGTTGTATCTGCTCCGTCCACCACGTCACTCCAACGGCCTACCAGACATAAAATAAACCAGCGACTGTATTCCGCCATGACAGACATCTGTGTTTTGTTTATGTTTAACTTTTGTCCAGTTCTGAAAGATATGAGGAGCTGTGAGTTCTGTGTGCTCACAGCTAACGGGCTGATGTTTTGGTTTTCTGATTCAACGTCACTGACGGCAGGCTGCGTGTCCTCACCGCTGATTGGCTCTGCGACAAACGCTCACGCAATTGGGGCTCGAGTTGAAATCCTTTATTAAAGAGCTTCTCGCACACACACACACCATACCACAACACCACACACCACACACACCACACACACACACACACACACCACACACACACAACACTCACTTTTTGCATTTCAAAGTATTGCTGTGTTCATACAGTTTGCATGTTCGAGCAACAATCCATGTGCACTGCTGAATGCTTATGTGCAGAGTTTGACCCTGAAGGCTGTTTTTCTGCTCTGAATGGAATTATATTTAGTATACATATTGGTTTCAGATTTGTGAATGGGGAAGTAGTAGTGGAAACATACCAAACACCTAATTATTCAAAGTAGAGGTATTTCCTTTCATATATACGGTAATACTAAGGAGGCATAGCCTGTATGGATTGTTTATAATGTTTGACATTATTGATCTTCAAAAAGTGATTTTTTTTCCCAAATCCTTTTCCGCTCAATGGCTTTTGTGCCATAACAAACATGGTCACACCCAAGGGCCAAATCGCGCCCTTGACCCTAAAATGACGAAATTCCAGCCTGATGACATCATCTACGCGACTCTGGGATTGTTAGTTTTAGTTATGCGTATTTTTCATTAGTCTTATAATTCAACAGGTTTTACGAAGAACTGGGACTTTTGACACATTTGAGTTGTATACACTTGCTGGAAAGAGGATATTCCTAGCCTTTCAATGATATCAGGGATTGTTTATTGGTACTCCCAAATATAAGCAAAATATGTCAACATTATATTACACTGCTGTCACCGAGTCATTCATTTTTGAGAAAAGGCCTTCCAAAGTTTCCTCTTCTCTGGAAATCTATCGATCTGATTGATTATTTAGCGAGCAAATGAATCAAAATACTACGGAGGGAAGATAATTGATCGTTTGGATTACTGGTCTGGGGGAAGCTCGCGAAGTGTGTGATGTGTATACGTGTGTGTTGTGTCTTTTGCGTTTGTGTGTATTGCGTTTTGTTCCCGGGGGAAAACCCTCACGAGAAACACCGGCTGTGTTATGTCTGCCGTGACGTCACATTAATCCGTTCTCCGCTTGTAATTATGCCGTTACAAGCTTCAAGCTGTATTTATCATCTGAATTACTAAACAAGTTTAATATTCTGAAAGGCAAGACTTTCTTTAATTGAAATCAGATGAAAACAAAACTGTAACGGACCCTGCCGTGTTTATTTATGATACTCTACGCTTACATTCATAATGTCAGCCGGAGGGAGGGGGGCGCGGCTGCTGCGAAGAGCAGATTTGCCTGTCATCTTCCCTTTACAAGCTTTAAAGAATGTATTTATCGTGTGAGTTTGGAAATAAAAGTTGCAATATTCTGAAAGCCAAGACTTGTGTTTGTTTAAAAATCAAACAAAACACTCCGAACCGCCGCCGGGCACCATATCAGCTAGAACCGCCACTGAACATAATAGGAGACAATCAGTAAACCATTTTGCAAATGGACTCATTGTGGGTGATTCTTACAGCATATGCGGCCCACACCCTCACGGTCATGATCCCTGTATCACGTGAAGGCAGAAAGAATGATAAACTTAAGTTAAATATAGCGAAGATATCTTTACTTGGTATAGTTAAAACAACACGTTTGTATAGCGCCATTGCTTCTTAGTATGCAACCTAAATGATACTGTAAATTAAAGGGAAAACATATCATTCATTGCACGCCGTCAGCCCCCCTGGACAACAGGTGTTATTCCGGCCGAGCATGCATTGCTTGCCACCTCGCGGGAGCGCGCTCAGCGTAACGCGACCACTCCCAGACATTTCAATGATTTGTGCGCTATAAAGTACGGTTTGGAAACGATATATCATTTTCCTTTTGGTTCCAATGGTGATTAAAATAATCTGAACTCTATAGTTTATGAATCATTTAAAGGTAGGTAAGAATGGGAAAACCAGCTATACGTAAGCTAGATTATTTGAAAGTGCCACAACCGAAAAATATCTGCCCCTTCCTTCGGACTTCTACAGAGCAAAGCACGCATAACACCTTTTTTGTTCTGTGATTTTTGATAACATAGATGAGGCACGGTACCAATCGACTCAATCTGTGTAAGGCCAGGAAAGCCCAAAAATGAAAACTATTTAGGGATCTTTAAGAGATAATTTGCCTACTTTGTTGATAACCATGGTAGAAACTGATGCCTCTCTTTTACACCGCGATTGTTATACTGTACTAGCTATAGCAATATTTTTGTCATGTAGCCTATATCTGTCTGAGTCGTGGGTTTTGCATTCTCTGGATGCAAACCTGTTCCAGGCATCTCCTGTTATAGTGCAGGGACTTTCTGTTTTTGTTTCTCAAGAAACGATTGTCTAGTTCCCAGGTAAAGTGAAAACTTATGTTTGGTCTCCTCCTTTTTCTTAACCCTATGGTGTTCGGGTCTGTGGCATTATTTAAGCTAAAGAAAAAAATGATATGATAAATTATTTTTTTCAAACCACACTCAATGGCCTTGGCTCATTTTCGTGAAGGAAACATATCAGAACACATTTTCACATGACCACCCACTGTACCCCCTCTACACATTTACGTACCTTCTGTCTTAAACTCTTTAAGGTACCGTGCTCGGTACATGGTAAACTACTCAGAGTATTGACACTGTAAATAACACGGTTATCTAGCTTAGCTCACCCAAAGCTTTTGGGCTCAGTAACGTTAGCTAGCTAATGTTAGGAGGTCTAGTTCAAAAAGTGACCTTGGCTCGTTACTCCGAGGCTCAGTCACATAGTTAAAGGGGACCTATCATGCAAAATGCACTTTTGTACGTCTTTTATACATAAATATGTGTCCCCGTTGTGTCAGGGAACTCACCAAGTGTCAGAAAACACAACCCTCTCTCTTTTCCTCCATACCCAAATCTCTAAAAACGGGGCTGCAACGGATCTGATACAGACTGATGAGATTTTAAATTGTTCTGACGTCAGAAACGGGGTGCTCCGCCTATATGGGCAACTCTCCACCTATCAGGGGAATGAGAGGTTGCGTGGCATGGTAACAGCATGGTAACAGCATGGTAACATGACGCTCGTGCCTCGCCCCCCTCCTTTGCAGGGGGCGTGGTCAAATGCAGCTCATTTGCCACAGAATCAGCCCTTGTGAAGACTGGGCTGGAATATAGCAAATAGAGCGAAATGAGGCATGGCTAAAATGCATGATCTGTTTGGTATTTTGAAAAAAAAACTTTACAGACATGTTTTATATAGGTATGGCCCTACAATATATTATTCAAATATAGCATGATAGGTCCACTTAATGTATGAGATAAAAACGTTGGTTTTGTCCTGGCAAACATCAAAACACTCCTGAAAGACAAAAGACATATGTGGGATTACCAATATACACTTCAAAATACAACCGGCTGCTGTTTAATAAACACACGTTTAGAATTTGTCCCAAGGTACATGGATTAAAATGTGTCATATACTTAAATTAATACTAATGAATGGTCTTCCTGAATAAAACCAGAACTTAGTTTAAGGGGACAAAGACTAAAAATAAAAAAAGGAATATATTATTTAAAATAAAACTAAACCATGCTCTCAAAAACTTAGAAAAGAGCAAACAAAAATATGGTCTGTTGATTACTGCAGGAAAACTGACAAAACCCAATTGTGAAATTATTTAGAAGCACATGGGGGAACATATTATTCCACAATAGTACATTTTCAAAATGATGTATGTTTTAGTAGAAATATGTTTGTAATAATCCAATTAGCATTTGCATTTTGACACACTGTGAGTATGTCTAATTGTTAATAAATACCATTCTATTTTTAACTGTGACTTTAATGTTTTCAACATATATTTAAACAGGTAGTATACATATTTGGTTAGGGTTAGTACTCAAAGGTAGCTCGAGTGCGCTAGAATTTGAAAAAATACACAAACGGAAAAAATCTGCCACTTCCTTACAGAGCCCCTCCTCCAACACACACGAACGTGCACATGTCCAATGAGGGCACGAGATAAGTTTGTGCACAGATGGAAGGCTGACAGGCAGGTAGGCCATCCAGTTATTTTAGCCGGGCCGGCTCAGATGATTGGTCGTGCTTTTTACAGTACTATGACTTCCACAGATAAAGTGTTGTAATGTATTTATTGTCAGAGCACTTAATGCATTCATTGCCATCGGGATGTTAAGAGCATTCCATATAATATAACAAAAAGTGTTTCTGAAGTGAATTACCTACCCCACCTTTAAGATAAAACAATCCTTTAACTATTAGTTTCATTAAAGGTATTATTATTTGATTGAATAAAGAGCAAAGACATGTGTGAGTTTGGAAGTGTATTTATTGATAATTAAGGCACAAGTGAACACCAGCGACACAGAGCTGATGTTTGAACACAGGTAACAGTGGAGACTTCTCATGGCTTGTCAGTGAGGGGCAGTAGTGTAGTGGAGGGGAAGGATTCAATCAGAATAACATGCATAGTTGAAATAGAACATATTCAAAATACTACCATGGGTACAAAGCTTTTAAACGTTTAATAAAGCTGTAAGTGTGGTGGCTAACATGCAGCCGATCTATTAAGCTGCCCGACAAAATGAATAAATCTGCCTTTTCAGAAATGTTTTCAAGTATTGCAATACATCGGACTATTAACTTCTATTTATTAATAATATCCGAATATAACACTCAGTACCTCAGCACCAAAACAGCCTGCTTCCACTCAAACATTAACAATCAAACACATTTCAAACTTCTTTGGTGACAAAGGACACATGCAGTCAGACACAAAAAATGTAACAATATATAACTCTATTCACTTTGTTTGAATACCTCTATGGTGAAAATTGCACGTCAAGGACACAAGATAGATTTAGTCAGAACACGTCGTCAGAAACACCCTGAAACAGCTTTTGTACACAAGAATAAGGCCACAGTTAGTTTCAGTTTAGTTTAGATGTTTGGATGTTTTTATGTGGGTCTTATGAGGTGCTTATCCACAGTCAGTGTATTACTGACAGCATGCAGTTTGGGTAACAGACAGGAGTACAAACAGGAAGCTAAGTAATGAACTGCTGAAACAAAAACATATAAAATCAATATCAGTCTCTTTCTCTACTAAAGTGAATATGGAGAAGCACCAACATACAACGCCACTTCATAACTCCAAACCGTCCCTTTAATGTAATGCATTGTAACTGCTTCCAAAACAGAAAAGGACACACCTGTATTGCTTCACTTGCAGTGCAAACATTTTAAAGTCAGAAGTGATCTTTTAAAAATATATATATCAACGTATAACTTAAAAGTTTTAATTAAAAAATTAAGTTAATCTAGTGGCACTGAAAAGTGGTTAAAAATGGTGTCCAGTTATAATACGAGGAACCTGCTTGAATACACTTTTCCTTTAAGCTTAATCCTCTTTTCCCTATTTTAGAGAATACTTTATTTAAAGGTGTATATCTCAGTACATTTTATAATCTGACCTCTCAGGTTTCTCAGTGGCAGTTCTGACATTTAGGATGACATTTCTGATTGTCGACGTTGCAGCGACATCCCCCGCTGGTGTCTCCAGGACCCTTTAAGAAACAGATCAGAATAAGAGGTGACTACCTTTCAAATAAAACCTTTTTTAACCACCAAGTTTTGGCAGATTTGTATTTGGATCATTGTTCCAGGGTGTAGGAGATTGGGTTTCTACATAAAGGCTAATTGAAAAAATGTTCTCTCAGTGATTGTGCTGTTATGTTAAATGTCTGTTGTTTGTTTTTCATGTATTGTGTCTTGATATTTGTCTGTTGATGTTACACATGGAGCTGCTGTGATGCAAGTCAAATGTAAGACTTGATCTGACCAATAAAGTATTATCGTATCGTATCGTATCGTATCTTATAACAAAAGAGAGATGCAATGAGGAAAGGAACGGTTTCTTACCCCCGGCCCCCAGCGAGGCCCTCTGGTCACCCAGCAGATCTCAGAGTGACAGACGGTGCAGCGCAGCCAATCACATCCATCCCTCTTCTGCACGATGATGCCACACTGGGGACAGTGCATGGCCTCGCCTGACTGTACCAGGGTCTGTTTGAGATAGAGACGTGTGAGTGACAGTTTCTGATATGCAGACATGGCAAAAGTACACACATCCTTTACTCAAGTAGAAGTATAGATACTCGTGTTTAAAAATACTCTGGTAAAAGTAGAAGTACTGACTAAACTTCTTGACTCAAGTAAAAGTTTTCATTGGTCCCTCTTCTTTAGAGAAGACCAGGAAATGATGGATACACGGATCGTGTTCAAATCAATAGACACACAATGACTCTAAATAATAATGATCACGCCACCAAACACACATTCAAACTAAAGGAACCAGCCTGTTTGGAAAATGTGAGAAGTAGAAAGTACAGGTATTTGTGTTCAACATGTAAGAAGTAGAAAGTACAGGTATTTGTGTTCAACATGTAAGAAGTAGAAAGTACAGGTATTTGTGTTCAACATGTAAGAAGTAGAAAGTACAGGTATTTGTGTTCAACATGTAAGAAGTAGAAAGTTCAGGTATTTGGTTTCAACACGTAAGAAGTAGAAAGTTCAGGTATTTGGTTTCAACATGTAAGAAGTAGAAAGTTCAGGTATTTGAGTTCAACATGTAAGAAGTAGAAAGTTCAGGTATTTGTGTTCAACATGTAAGAAGTAGAAAGTACAGGTATTTGAGTTCAACATGTAAGAAGTAGAAAGTACAGGTATTTGAGTTCAACATGTAAGAAGTAGAAAGTACAGGTATTTGAGTTCAACATGTAAGAAGTAGAAAGTACAGGTATTTGTGTTCAACATGTAAGAAGTGAAAGTAAAAAGTAGTCAGAAAAATAAGTAGTGGAGTAAAGTACTGATACCAGAAACATGTACTTAAGTACAGTAACAAAGTATTTGAACTCCACTACTTCCCACCTCTGCAGTAATGTAATGCTGTGTGTTTGCAGGGTTTAGTGACCACTCTCCATGAGGGGGAGGACTTCGGGCAGCTGGCGTTGCTGAACGACGCCCCGCGAGCCGCGACCATCATCCTGAGAGAAGACAACTGCCACTTCCTGCGAGTCGACAAACACGACTTCATACGCATCCTCAAGGTGAGATCAGCTGATAGGCAGCTCTCGATTTAAACTGTAAACTGTCTCATTATTATATTTAATGCTTCTATTAAGGTTTGTGAATAACGCTTTGAATGTCTGAGGTAAATACATTTAAATGAATAAAAAATAAATATATAGTAAAATAAAATAAACAAATCACAAATTAAAATGGAAATTGTAAAGTTAAAATATCCATATATATCTATAAATATGTTTTAATCATTTTTGTTTTGGAATATATATATTTTTTCAATTTCATAAAAACTTCTATATTTTCTTAAAAAATATATGTTATTATTTTGGAAATGATTGTTACTTTTTTCAGTTTTAATGCTTTGCAGTTTTTGGAAATGTTTGAATCACACATATCTGAAACAATCCTACTAATAATATATATTTAATAATGATATATGCTGCGTTTCAACACAATATAAATTAAGCTAAAATGACTCGGAAAAGCTCTAGTCTAGATAATGTCAAACATCTGAATATTTTCAGACAGATTCAGATCCACAAACACACTGAATATGAATTTGCCTCGTATGTGTATGTTTGTCCTGCAGGATGTGGAGGCGAACACGGTGCGGCTGGAGGAGCACGGGAAGTCTGTGCTGGTTCTGGAGAGGAGCGAGGGGGAGGAGACTGGAGGAGCAGCTAACAACAGCAAGTGAGAAACACACACACACACACACACACACACACACACACACACACACACACACACACACACACACACACACACACACACACACACACACACACTCACACTCACAGACACAACAGCCTCTGCTCAGTCACACACTCAGAGTGGGCGTGGGCAGCTCTGTGTGTCAGACTGTACGTAGTTTAGGTGTTATTAATCAGCTGTTATCTGACAGCTCAAAGACATGGACTCTAACCCCGCCGTGCTGAGCGACTTCTTATCAGTGTGGAAGTGTTTTTAGCAAACATTAAAGTGAATTAAGGTTGACCTGCCATACATTCACACCTTCAGCCATCCTCTCTTGGTTTTACACCAAACCATCAGCAGTTATTCTCTGAGGAGCCTATTATTAACCAGTGTTGCATAATTGGACCTCATGCCACTAGTATGGTGGCCGACAGGTGCAAAACACATGAAGATGTCAACAACTTGACAACACATGCATCATTTAGAAAATATTCACCAACTTGATCAACACGCGTAAAGTTAACTAAATGCGGTGCATAAACCAAACGCTGCAAATACAAAATGCTGCAAAAAGCTCAAAACACAACGGAAACCAGGGGACACTAAAGAGTGACGCACACAGCTGGAGGCCAGGGGACACTAAAAAGTGACGCACACAGCTGGAGGCCAGGGGACACTAAAGAGTGACGCACACAGCTGGGAGACCAGGGGACACTAAAGAGTGACGCGCTGGAGACCAGGGGACACTAAAAAGTGACGCACACAGCTGGGAGACCAGGGGAAACTAAAAAGTGACGCACACAGCTGGGAGACCAGGGGAAACTAAAGAGTGACGCACACAGCTGGAGACCAGGGGAAACTAAAGAGTGGCGCAAATAGCTGGGAGACCAGGGGAAACTAAAAAGTGACGCACACAGCGGAGACCAGGGGACACTAAAGAGTGACGCACACAGCTGGGAGACCAGGGGACACTAAAAGTGACGCAAATGACGCACACAGCTGGGAGACCAGGGAACAACACAGCTGGA